TTAGATTGAGACTGCAGGTGAGCATAAGAGCGATTTTTACAGCTGAAACTTTGACAAACAATTATAACAAGTCTAGTAGTCAAAGCAATAAAGATTGGAGATACCCAATTGCAACAGATTGCTGATCGTTTATTCCATTCTGCAAGTGAAATAGGTAATTCGTGTATTATTATCGAGATGAGAATGAGATTTTGTAGGACAAATATTTTCAACACGATTAGATTGAATAAATTTGAGTTTATAAATATTATTGATATTTCAAAAAGACCCTTCACTTGTAGAAATATCGGCTGAAATGAATGATAATGAGTTTAATAATCCAACCAGAATAATTGGACTCTAAATTTAAGATAAACAGTCAGAAAATATGTCACATGTATATTAATTTAGACTAAAAACAAATAACATTTATTTTTCTCCAAAAAACAAAAAGTCATTTACAATCATTAACTTGATGCAAACATGAATCTTTCACAATCTATAACCCTAATTTTCGATTTCAAGAAGATTCAACAATTATCAAATCATAAATATGCTTAACAAATAATAAAAAATGAACCTCGGCCTTGCTGTTAAATGGTGATATTCAGCCACAAAAAATTCCTGAATCAAAGTTTTTTCGTTAAATTACCAACCGATTCCATACCTGATCTTAGTTTATAGGCTCTGAGAGGAGGACGAAAAACGAAAATAATCTTTGACGATCTCTCATTCATATTGATTTTGCAGAACTTTATAAGCAGATTATGTCATTTGTTTTTTGTTGATCACATGGAAAATATCAAGTAAATTTTACATTCAATATCTTTCATTTTTCTCGAAAAACTTCACTTTGAATATGTACATTGTTTTTACAACTTCAATTATCATACGAATATGTACGCTATTCTCTTCTTGCTGTTGTCTATCATCTATGTTATTTTTTACAAGTGTTTTTCTCTTCTCTTCTTCAAAAACTTTCATATGATTGGTTACAGAATGAAGAAAAAAGTATACAAATATAGGTATATCGTAACTTCCAAATTGCGAACATTTTGATTAAATAGTTATTACAATAGCTGATTATGAGTTCAATTTTATTAATAATATAAATATAGAAGTTTGAGAATAAGAATGGTATCATTTCTTTTTATTTGATAAGTCAACACGAATTTGTCATTTGAATATATAATAATAAATGAGAATAATGATGAATGAAAATAAATTACAATATAATAACTTTTTTCTGTTGCTATTATTCTATTTTCTTACAAATAATAAAAATATTTAAAAAAAGAAAAAAAATTATTATATTATTTTTTTTATTTTCGTTCATCATTATTCTCATTTATTATTATATATTCAAATGGCAAATTCATATTGATTTGTCAAATAAAAAGAATTAAAACTATATCACTTAATTATAAAAAGTATTTGCAATTTAGATATAGTCGTTTTTTCTGTACAGGTGTTGAAAAATTTTCACGACGTTCAATTCTCTGTCAAACAAATGAAGATGTTCGATTAATTAATAAATGCGTTTTGATAAATTTAAAAAATGTTGAACAAATGAGTTTTTATGCGATTGACTCTGTAAAAAATAATGGCGATGTAGCTGATCATGATTTACAAGTCAATATTCTGGTGAAATTTCTAAATACTTTGAATCGATCTGCATTACAACCGTATAAATTAAATTTAAAAATAGTCTGTATAGTAATGCGTTTGAGAAATCTATCGGTAAACAAAAGATTATGCAATGGAACTAGATAGAATCTTTCGTCAAAACGTGCTTTAACTGGAAACTATCACTCGTGCATTTTCTGGAACTGTTAATTTTAATCCTAGAATTCCTCTGAATACATCAAACGTTTCAGCACTTCCATTCAATTTCGTTAGACACCAGTTTTCAGTTCGTCTTGCATATGAAATGACAATAAATAAGTCTCAAGGTCAAACTTTTGATAAAGTTGACCTCTATCTTCCAGAATCCTGCTTTTCTTACGATCAGTTTTATACAGGATGTTCAAGAGCAAATAAATCTAATTGTTTAAAAATTCAAGTAAAAGACATCACTAGACAGGGCAAAAGGGATATTGAGGAAACTGTAACAGATAATGTTGTTTATTGGGAAATATTTTCGTGATTTCTCTATGTTTATTTTTGTGAGTTTATAACTTTACTAATTATTTTTATATTTAATAAATCAAATACCCATGTAAAAAACTTGGATTATAAATCAAATCAACAATCGATTACAATGACTGTATTATAATCTGATTTTAATCAAATTTTTCAACCATAAAAAGACAGATTTCATTTGATTTTGATATTTTTAAAAATCTATTTAATCGATTGCTTACAACGATTATCATCATCGATTAAAATAGATTTTAAAAAAATCAAAATCAAATGAAATTTGTCTTTTTATGGTTGAAAAATCTGATTAAAATCGGATAATAATAGTGCCATTATAATCGATTTTTAATTTGATTCTTAATCCAAATTTTTTTTACATGGATACTAAACTAAACTTATGATTAACTCAATTTTTCCTATAATCTTAAAGTCTGACTTTTCACAGAAGCCTATAGTCTATGTATAATCTACTAAACCTGAGGATAACACATGCTGCATCATAAATATATGTATTAGCAAAAAGGAATGATATCACAATAGTAGTTTATATTATTATCACAGGATAAATTAGCTGAAAATCAACTGACTCTGTATCAAATATATTAAAAATGTAAAAATATATTAAGTAAGAACATAAAAGTTTTATTGCAATAAAGTTGAATAAATAAGTATCCGTGAATATTTTAACAACTGTGAAAATTTTTTTTTGTGATTTCAATGAATCAGATGATACTTGTAATTCTTTATAGTTACAGATATTCTATAAGAAAAATAACGGAATCAAATAAATTCACATAAAAGAAATACTAATGATAAATTGAGAATTTTCTCATTACTTTAGGTCTAGTATAGAACCTTATATTCTGAAATATTTGTGTATTTTACTATAAAATACACAATATCTTTCAATAGTGCATACTTCTGAAAATTCTCAATAATATTTACATTATTTCGCAAATTTGTTAAGAGAAAAATGCTTTATAATTTATTCTTCACACGTAAGAATATTTAGTTATTTGAAACTATTTATTTTTATAATTGAATGTGTATATTTCTAAGCCTTTATTCTTGAACCGGTGTTTTTCTCTCCTCCGTACATCATATACATACACTTTTTTTTCACTTAAAACCAATACAAAACCAGCAAACACAAAAGAAAAACAATTGAAATACATAAAGTAAAAATGTCCAAAAAATGAGAAGAATAAGTTCTATATTGTTTTTATTTAAGAAAAAAACCTGTTTCTTTTCTTTCTCTTAAACTTTTTTTTTACTAAGAATGACTTTGCTAGATTGTTTTTTCTCATTAATAATCATAAATTGTCCAGATTTCAATAATTCATGCATTTCATCTTCAAAAAAGAAGAGATTTATTTGTTACAAATAAATAAATTTAATATACGTCATATTACAATTCCATGTATCTCTTCTCGATTTTTCTATTCTCGATGCTATGAACAAGAATTGAAAATGAAGAAGAGTATTTTTTTTTCATGGGTCTATCGTTAGTGATTCGTATGTAAATCGAGAAAATGTACAGAAAGGAAGGATGATAAGGAGCCATAAAAAAAACAGGTGAACAGATGCGTATTTGCAAAGTGAATGTAATGTATAAGAGTAACAAAAATGTAGCAATTTGATATGAAAAAAAAACATAATTTGTTTCTTTTTGATGAAAATTCTGCCACTAGAAAATGAATAAGATCTGTATATCTATTTATCTGACATTGATGGATGCATGTTTTATCAGATTTTCATTTGTCTTTAGTGCTTTGTTAGGTCGTAAAAAGTTCAATTGATGACCCTTCGTATTTTATATTTCATGACTCTGAACAAAAGACAAACACTGCATTAGATTCTGGCGTCTTCTTGACAGTATCTGTCTCAGAAAATGACGTGAATCTAATAGAAAATTGCGATGTCTTTCTCTATTTATTCATTCGTCAATGTCAATTAATTTCAAAATAAAAAATGTATATGAAGGTCTCATTATATCATATCATTTAACGCTATTCACTTACTCGATGTCTTTTTTTTTGCCTTTGCTGTTTTTTGGACATCAAAATAAATGAGTTGTTAATTAGTGTGTGAATAATCGAGATGAAAAAATATATGAGTGAATACATATTTTCTAGCTGAAGGGCAGTTTGTTTTTGTCAAAAGAAACTATACGTATAAAAATACCATCTCATGGAGCAGGTATGTCGGAGTTTTCTAGTCTGTTCCAAAATTCAGTTTTAGATCGTTATAGCCTCGAACACTCTTCGAAACAAAAGACATGTCATGGATAATTGAAGAAAGCGATGATGCATCTTCAGCCATTAACGTTCAAGGCAATAATGTTACTTGTCAGAAAGAAGACTTCTATGGCAGTCCAATCAATGTCCTTTGGAAAGATCCGGCTGAGAATGCGGGACTATATTACTGGCAAATTGAGTTTGTACAGTTAGATCAACAGGGAAGTGCTAGTGTTGGTTTAACTACACAAAATCATTTCAAACCTGGCTATGCAATGAAGGCAATGGAATATAACGGCAAGTTAATGAATCTTTGTTCAAATCTGAAAGTCTCGAGCTCAGAGCGTTTTCACATCTCTCTGTTCGTAAAAAAAATTTATTTACATTACTATCGAAGTTCTCGATATGTTTAGGAAACTTAGCTGACGGTAGTGCTCTCTTGGTTGGATCATTTGGTGATTCTATTAAACAAGGTGATAATATTGGTATTTTGCTCAATCTGACCGACAGTGAACTGAAAATGTACTTGTTTCTCGACGGCCGACCATTAGGCTTAGCATTTCATGTACAAGCTCCGTTTCCAAAACCCTTGTTTCCAGGTCATTATTAATACTCCTTTCATTAAATATTTAATTTAGTTTTTCGATGTCTGTTTTCATTCTAGTCGTCAGCTTTAGTACAAATGGTGAAGCTACAATTATTCATTCAAAACAAGGTCCAACCTCGTTCGATCGACAAGAGAAACAATTCAATGGCATTGAAGGTCACTGGAAATTGGTTGACTATCCACAACACAGTGACTGTACTGGCTATCATTTTCACATATATAAAAAAGATGAAACAGATAATAATTACTACCGTCTTTCGACTAGTGTTGTCAACACTATGAGTAGCATCCTTTGTCATGATCCGTCCACAAATCAATGGCAAAGTCAAGGCTGTATGCAAACCTTAATGGGAGGAGATCAGGAATCTATGCGAAAGGAAGATGTAATCAGTGAATTGATCAAGGGTATAACAGGTGTTGAGTTACGAGGACAACAATTGGTTATAACGTCAAATGGAAATCAAGTGAAACTTGATCGGTATACACCAGAACCTCCAAAAGCATACACGAAAAATGTTTTCGCAGCAGAAGATTAAGTACCGGATTTATAATTACAGAGAGGACTACGCAGATGTAGAGCTAATTTCATTTGTAAAGCTTTTACTAATACGTGCATATATTTGTTTGTCTTAAATGCAAAAAAACATCGTTTTGGTTTAGTTTTCTTTACTTAGCTGTCTGAACAAATGCAGTATGACGAACTACTGACATCAATTTGGAACGAATTTTTGTAATATGAACGAATATTTGAAGAAGGTGTCGGTATAAATGTGCTTCTTGTTTTCACCGGCATCTACACCCTTTTAGATAACAATTGAAAATTATTTATGGAACACTTCACATGTATTTTTTTTTATTTGACAAATGATAAAATTTCTTTCATGATGTCAACAATAATACAATAGATGTGTTTGCTTACCTTATTCGTATGAAAAAAATTCTGAATAAATCTCTGTTACTGATCAACAAATACATCTGTTCAATCGAATCGAAGTGGAGATATTTCAAATTTTTTATCATAAAGATATTTACGGGATATCCTGTAGATCAATGAGGAGAATCATTTTACTAACTGTGAAAATGTGAAAGTCAGCTATAGCTTGAAAATTGTGGATTCTTCATTTTATTTCTTATGTTATATGATATTGAATGATTAAAAATATTTAGTTCAAACTGAAATTTACGCTTAATAAAAAGAGTTTAGCTACTCTTATTATAGAGATACTCGAGATTGAGTAGATGGAGCACATTTTTATGCTACTTGAATATTTCATGTCGAGCTTACAATAGATTTGAAAAAAAACTTTTAATAGTTGTCTCTCCTTACAGTTTAACATGACCAAAGATATTTGAATTTCGCAAGCAAGAGACGAACTTCATGATCTAATATTAATGAAGACTTCTTCAAAGTGATTTAAATTATTGAGTAACAATAGATAAATATCTCTTGACTTAATTTCTACAGGAACATATTATTGATTTTGATCTTTGAGAGAATTGTTCTAATAAAAAAAGAAAAGAATATTTATGTAAAACAAACAAAGATCGATTATAAGAAAAAAAGCTATCAATAATGATGTTGACAATATAATGGTATATCAATTTTCGAATAATGATTGAAATAATAATCTTTGACTTTTTGCGGTGATTCAACAAATATTAATGCCATGCCAAGTTGGAGATGCCAATCATTATGACAATGCATCATCCATATACCAGGATTGTCTGCTTTAAAACGAAAAACAATGTAGGAATATGGATTAACTGTATATGTGTCACGATAGACTGGATTGATGGTATTATAAACAATATTTATTCGTGTCGATTCATTAAAATAACCATCTTTTGTTTGACCTGATGCTAATATCCATGCATGATGACCATGTAGATGGATTGGATGTGAACCATAATCAATATTGTTAATAATAATATCAATAATTTCATCAGTTTCAATATTTAGAATCGATGATAGATTGATTTGTTTAAAGTTATCGAAAAGAAGTGATGATAGTAGACTTGTATTTGTTGGATGTACAAATGTTGCATCATTAAAATAGAAATGACCTAGACGTTCAACACGAAATTGAGAATCAAAAATTAAAGTTTTTATTTTTGCACTAGTTGGAACTCGATATTCAATGACATTCATGGGACTCAATTCTGTTTCATCACTCATTATTCGCCCATCAATAAGTGATTTCTGTATGATATTCTCATTATTATTAAATGTATCCATCGATGGTATATTAAAAGAAACATTGATATTCTTCTCATTGTTATATTGTAGAATGGCATGTATATTCGGTTGAATCGGTGCCGTATACTTACCACGATCATCGACAAATGAATGAATTGTTGCACGTATCCAGTAACTTGATGCAGAATTTTGTCTTGCCGTAATCAAAACTGAATATCGTTGACCAGGATTTAGACGAAGACTAGTAACATATTTTTTTCCATCTAAATTGGTTCCATCTGCTTCAATTACTCTCATATCATGTTGATCAATTGCCAATGTTATTTGAGCATAAACAGATGTATTTATTATACGAAATCGTTTTGTTGTACCTTCTCGAATAGTTGCTCGATAGTAAGAACATGGATTAGTTAATGTGCAATTAAATTGTCCAATACCGTTTATGAGACCTGTATCTGGCACTGGATCCAATGTACCAGGATCTAAATAAGGTTTTAAAAGTACGTATACAGAAGTATGATACCAATCAGTTAATTGAAGAATTTCTTCATCATTATAATGTTTCTTCCATGGATCATTTGGATCTTTGATAATTAACGCGCCCCAGAGACCGTCACCATATTGTATTGAAAAATGTGAATGATACCAGTAGGTTCCTGATTGATTACTTGTAGAAAATGTATATAAATATGATTGATTTGGTAGTATTGGACATTGAGTGACACCCGGAACACCGTCCATGTGCAAAGTATTTCGTTGTAGTAGACCATGCCAATGAATAGCAGTTGGCTCCTCTGATTCATTGATCACTGTAATGTTAATTATAGTACCTTGTTCAACAATAATAGTCGGTGATGGAAATTGATTGTTAATACTTAGAACTGGTCTTTTGTAAGTGTCAGGTGATGTATTAAACCATCGAATACGAAATTCAGCTGTGTATGTATGGATTCTAACTATGAAAGAGAAAAAAAGAATATCTTCTGACAAGATATTAAAAAGAAATGGTGACTAATTCGATTGTTCTTTTACTTTTGGAAATGTCTGTCAAATCTGTGAAATAATCTTATTCTCTCTTTTTATTCATTGAAGAACGAAGATACGAATTTTTCCTAATCAACCAATACTAATCACATGTTTTTTTAGAGCACTCTCTGCTGCATTCAATACAATTGCTGAACATTCGTTTTTTAGATGTACCTCGTTTGTTTTTCATATCGATCTCTTTCTTCGGTAAGTATGTAGGTATGAGAGAGATAATAATCATTGCTGCAATAACACCAAGGAACACCAAAATGTAACAGGCACCGATCCACGGTAACCAAATAATTTGTTCTTGAGATTTAAAGATATTTTTATGTGAAATTTTGATCATAACTATTTCTGATAAATTAATATTTATTTTTTTTCTTCGGTATGAATGAAGATTTTTCAATTTTCTTGAAAGATTTACTCTTAGTTTGATATGCTGTTTCCCAAATTATATGTAAATGAAAAAGCGTTACTATTCGTTTGTGTCAATTATGAGTTTTGATACCACCTTTGACAATTACGAGATAGAGCTTATCATCGTCAATTTATAGTCAGACGTATACCAATTTTTAGTAATCCAATTTGCTTCGAGATGAATTCTAAACTATGAATAATATCTGAAAATTTCAAAGACAATAATTATTATTGACAAATCTTAAGCTTAGGATTATATGTAATAAACTCAAACAGTTCGAATTTAATTTGAATTCGAACTGAATTCAATCTTATAAAGTTAGATATCAAAACTTGTTTCTCTTTATACGAATGTTTTTCTCTTATTATAAAGCAAAGAAAACACATTTGGAAAACTCATTTTATACAAACCATTTTCGTGTATCCAACACAGATTCTTTCTGTACTAGTGATGTGTTCCAATTATGAAGCCTATACTTTTATCTACAGCCTGTTAAGTTCAACTATAGAACGTCTGTTTGAGCCTATCAGAAAGTATGGCACAATACTGAATATGCAAGTCTTAACCATAAAAAAGCATTGCAAAAGGTGTTCTTAATTAGCTATATTTGATTCAAAACTAATTTTTAGACTTACAGACAGATTTTATTTGATTTTGATTTTCAATCTTTTTGAATATATTCAAATAAAATCCTGATAAAATTTCATTATGAAAAAAAAAAGTAATCAATTAACATTGAATTATTTCAATATTAGAAAAACGAGGTGTTCTGAGTGGTTCTTATTGATATGAGAAGAGATGATCCATCATCAGAATTTCTGTAACATATAAAAAAATTTTACACAAGTATTTGATACAGAGTAAGAAAAAAAAGCATACAAGGCGGAAGGAGTGTAGGAGTAAAATTTTGATGGAAAATAATTTATGGTGAAAAATAGAGATTTAACGTATCTTTGCATGTTGATATTGAATATCGTGCTTATTTTACAGGAAAATCAACTTTCTACAATAATAATATCTAAATACTCCCGATTTTTTGTTATTTTGTAAAGAAATAACTCTTCTCTAAATTGTTGATTTTTTTCATATGAGTAAAAAAGATTCAAGTTCTGGTCAGGTGATTTTATATCTTCATACTACCTACAATCAAAAAATAGCTAAACGGAAAACAAAATTGTGGAAAAGGGTATGGATGGATAGAACCAGTCATTCCTTTTATATAATTCATCAGAACACATATTAATGTCACCAAATATTGATATATCGAATAGTATTTTACATGGAGTGAAAATGTGTCAAAAATGGCCTCAAGCAAAAAAAAATATCATTTTCATATTTGTTTGTTACAATATGTTCCAAATTTGTTTTCTTTTTGATATTTTTTTTGCAAAGTAAAAGTATTCTTCATACTTTGGTCATAACAGATTTTTATTGTAATATGTTGCAATTGTGAGATTTTAGGCAAGCTTTAAAAAAATACAATTGAACAGAACAAACCGTATTTTTCTTGGAAAATAAGTATTTCTCTGCGAATATTCGTTCAATCATTGCCTAAATTTGCCATCATATATACAGTTTTTGTTACTTTATCAAACTGTGGAAAAAACAAGTCAAAATCTGTTGTTTGAAAATGTTTTGAAATTTTATACCAACCGGATGTCTGCAGCGGCATATAACTCATGAAAGCCATATCGTACTGCATCGATTTGAGCAACATAAGAATATTGTTTAATATACGGCTAAACACCATTGGCTTGTTGAGTTACATATGCTATGTGATATCGTATATAGCTGAAAATGGTCAAAAGCGTACGTTTGTCGTTTCAATAATAAAAAGAAAAGATCAATTTCTTTTTACACACTTTCATTGCTGTTTATCCGTAGTGTCTCGAATGATGGTGAGTTAGTGAATCAGATTTGAAGATTTTGTATTGTGTAGAAGTTCTCTAAAATCAGTAATTGAGCTGGTTTCAAGTCGTCTTTTAAGCTTAGAAGAGTAAGAAGTCATCAAATTGATAGAATTTCACAAGCATGGATGTTGCATGCTCTTGTTGTGATACTTGTTTGTAGGTAGAAAAGGAGACGAGAAAAATACAGAGCGTTTTTGTTTGATATCTTATTTCAATGCTACAGGTGAAACATGATGCTTCAGGCATGAACAACAAAGCAATCGATGACTATGGCCTATTCAACTACAGCATCCTTAATTCTTGACATATTTTTTCACCAACTAATCGATCAATTATTGGCAAAGGTGCAATCGATAATTGAAACTTTCTCTCATCACATTTACACTTTCGATACTGAAAAATATTATCTAAATGTACGTCCTTAACGTCAAACGTCAAGATTCTTCAGAATTCTGCCAAGTTTTGATAAATATTTTCGAGCTTCTTAAAAAGTTCTTGACTATTATCATGATTTAATATCAATGTTCTTCAATTCATAGTTGTTAGATAAAATCTTTTACGTGCTACGCAAAGACCAAAATCTTTTGTACAGCAAGTGTGTATATGAAAACAGTTTTATTTTCGATAAAAAATCTTAAATGAAAGACATTTGCTTTTTTTTAAAAATAACAATTCATGTTTTTCATTAGATACAGGATGTCCCATGAGTGGTATAAGATTTTTTTATGTGATTTTTTATAGTAATAATTATCAATCAAATTCAGACTGACATATATCATACAACTTAACTTATGTGATAAAAGAAGAAAGAAGTCATGCCGTGATTTACGATGGCAACAAGAAAAGGAGAAGAAATTGTTTATGATATCAATGAACAATGCTAGAAAAGAACAGAGAAAAGATACGCACGAGTTGTCAGATGGGACATCGCACAATCTTACAGGTCATAACAAAAAGCAATTCTGAAAAATGCTATATATGTTAAGTTTATTTAGTTTTTTGTATACGCTATGATCTAATCCAAATAAAATACTTGCAATAAAAGTACAAGTAAAATTGTACGATATGCGCAAATCTGAGTTTGATTTTTATTCATGATCATCAAAATTTAGATTAAAAAAACATCTGTTACACCGTATGGGAGACTCTATACGAGCAGATTGATCGAGAATGTTCACCCAATGACATATTTTTAGTGTTAGTATCCTTGATTAGAAAAAATCGTTTCCATATATCTCAATTCTTCGCATAGCAATTAGTGGATACCACGCAATAATTCTAATGATAAAATATTTCATAATGTTTAATGGCATCATCATTAATTTATTGACTTTATAATTCATCATGTGACGAAATTACTAATTTCTCTCAGAATTGGACGAATAAAAAAAATTATAGCAACGTTTTTTTCTTAATATAGGCTTAACGATTAAAACAAACAATTCATTCTTTTTTCTAAGAACGTATATGTAACTGAATACGATAGAGGATTTGAAATGAAGTAACACAATTCTTTCACCGTTTCTGCTAATATTGTATATCAAGGTCTTCTAGAAAATGAAAGACCCAATCACAAATAAATTGTTCTTGTAACCTACAGTCAAAGAATTAGATGTGGATGTGGATTCTTTTTTCAGCTACAACCTAATTCTAAATTAGATGCAACACTGATGAAACACTTTTTCATTTACAACGTTGATGCAGTGCGCAATCATTTAACAATAGTAGAATATATAAGGAATTGAAATGTAATCTTCGAATTTATGTAAAATCATATTCATGCTGAAGATAAAATTGAAGAGATTTTGAATTTATATGTACCCAGGCAGACAATAAACGGCCAGAAAGGCGTTTAAACGCATTAAAAAAGCGTTTACACCGTTTTAACTGGTTTAAACGCGTTTACTACTGATTTTTTCACTTTTAAATCGTTTTTACAGTTTATTTTCAACTAAATTTGACAAAACCATTAAAAACGCCCCAATTTCGTGGTTTTTTCGAAAAAAAAACGTTTTAACAGTATTTTTCCGTTTTGCTTCGATTACCAAAAAAACAATCAAAACTACAAAAATTTTATTATTATGCTGTCAGTAAATCATGTGCATCGTTACTAACTAGTTGTTAGTAGGTGATAGTCTGCGCTACTAATCTGTTACTAATGAGTAGTAAATTTTTAATTTAACTATTCTGTAATAGTTATACCTGTTTGAATGTATCTAAATCATGTAACACAACATAGTGAGTAATCAGTCTGGTTACTTTCTAGTAAGTAATAAGTTTTACAGTTCGTTGTTTATAAGTAACAGGCAACTGATGGTTAGAACATGTATCTTTTCCTAATAAACAGCAAAGAATCAGGTCCGATATTTATTATTAGCAAACAG